AAACTCGGTGTAAAACTGAAGGGATTAAAATGAGTGATTTAATGGCTCCCAACACCCATCCCCAAACTCCCTAAAAGTCAAATGAAATAAAAGAAGAATAAAAGATCATCGAAGTTAAAAAGTTAAAATATAGAAATAGAAAGTAAGAAAGTAAAAAATAAAATTAAAAAAATAGAAAAAAACAAAAGAATAAAAATAATAAAAATTAAAATTAAAATAAAAACAAAAAATAATGAATTAAAATAAAAGAAATTAAAATTAAACTACATTAAATTAAAATAAATTAAATTAAAAGAAATTAAAATAAAATAAAATAAATAAAATTAAAAAAAATAAAATTGAATATATTAAAATTTAATAAATTAAATAAATTAAATAAAATTAAAATATATTAAAACAGAATAAATAAAATAAAAATAAATTAAAATAGAATAAATAAAATAAAAAAATTTTTAATAAATTAAATAAATAAATTAAAATTAAAAATAAATTAAATAAATAAAAATTTTAAAAATTAAATTTAAAAAATAATATAAATTAAATAAATTAAATTAAATTAAAACAGAATAAATTAAGTAAAAATAAAAAATTCAAAATAAAAAAATAATTAAATTAAAATAAAATAAATGGAAAGAAATGAAAATAAAATGAAAATTTAAAAATTAAAATTGAAAAAAAGCCCAAATAAAATAAAGAAAATAAAATTAAAAAATAAAACAGAATAAATTAAATTAAGATAAATTTAAAAAATGAAATAAAAATGAAAAAATTAGATAAATTAAATTAAATTAAATTAAATTAAAAATTAAAAACTTAAATTTTGAAAAATAAAATAAATAAATAAAATTAAATTAAAATAGATTAAATTAAATTAAAATAAATTAAAATAGAATAAATTTAATTAAAATAAAATAGAATAATTAAAATAATAATTAAATTAAAATAAAATACATTAAATTAAATTAAAATAAAATTAAAATTTTTAAAAATTAAAATTTAAAAAATAAATTACATAAAATAAATTAATTAAAATAAATTTAAACAGAATAAATTAAATTAAATTAAATTAGAATAAATAAAATAAAAATAAAAATAAAAATAAAAATAAAATTAAAAAATAGAATGAAATAAATTAAAATAAAATAAAATTTTTAAAAAATTTAAAAATAAAATAAATTAAATTAAAAGAAATTAAGACAGAATAAATTAAATCAAAATAAATTAGAATAAATAAAATAAAAATAAATAAAATGAAATAAAATAAATCAGTTCAATTGAAACAGGTGCAGATGCGATGGATTTAGCGGCTATCAGGGTGTGACAGTGACAGTGACAGTGACAGTGACAGTGTGTCAGTGTCCGTGTCAGTGTCCGTGTCAGTGTCAGTGTCAGTGTCACTGTCACTGTCACTGTGTCAGTGTCACCGTCACTGTGTCACCGTCACTGTCAGTGTCACTGTCAGTGTCATTGTGTCACTGTCACTGTGTCACCGTCACTGTCACTGTCAGTGTGTCACCGTCACTGTCAGTGTCAGTGTCACTGTGTCAGTGTCACCGTCACTGTGTCAGTGTCACCGTCACTGTGTCACCGTCACTGTCAGTGTCGGTGTCAGTGTCACCGTCACTGTGTCACCGTCACTGTCACTGTGTCAGTGTCACCGTCACTGTGTCACCGTCACTGTCACTGTGTCGGTGTCGGTGTCCCCACCGTTGTCGCTGGCGGTGGCCATGGCTCCCCGGCTGTCGCTGTTGACGCTCACGCTCTGGCTCAGCCCCGGGAAACGGCGCCGGAGCTCCCGGGACAGCGCGGCCACGGCCTCGGGACTGTCAGCGCCGCTCAGCGACAGACCCTGCGACA